ATTTTTCTAATTCTCACAGATGGCATATAAGAGAGAGTTAATTTTTGGCAACACTCCTGTAAAGGCTGGAAATACTGATAAAGAACACTGACAAGGCAGAGCAGCAGATACACATGACGTCTAGAAGACACAGAAGATAAGGTTTGCAGATAGAAATTAACACAATCAAAATATCTCACAGCCCAGATGCACATCAGCACTTCAGAATTTTAAACAGACTGAAATGTCACTAGGTATGGCTCTGTCCAAGCATCAAGTCTTATGAAAGGCAGAGTACGCTTCTGCAGAAACAGTGATAGTATGATATTTTCCAGACAACAGTGAAAAAACATTAATACATTTTGAGTTATCCTCAACGAGAACATACAGGTGAAACTATCAGCTGAATATGGAATTGATCAATTTAAGTGTCTGCTGAATTATTTAAGACAAACTAGCCTTCATCAGGCCTCACTCTAATCTTCAATTTACTCTAGTGAAATCTTTTCCTTTGGTACGAACTCATTAAAAACACATCCATCAGTGAACAAGCTGTGAAGCCACATGAGGATTGCTTGCCAAATTCTATTTGGGTTAGCTGTCAGTGAATCTCACAAGGTCTGAACATTAATTATTTCTGAAACAATATTTTGTAATTCCCTCAATTTTATCTTTGAGCAAAAATAAGTGATCAAGGAAAAATCTGTTTCCTTTTTTTTTCACTACCAGACAATATGGGAACATCTTTCTGAATGTCTCAGATTACAAGAAAAGAAAGACAGCAGGAGCTATCACATGTGGCTCTTGAGACAGTATTCTCATATGTAAGAATGCTAGTACACTTGCATACACCCGAGGTCAAATGTCTACTAATAGCATCCTGTCAAGCATTGGAAACTTTTTACATTAGAAGTGTTTATAAACAACATCAAAACTTTGATTTCTTGAATGTAATCACATTTATAGATTTCAAGCCACATAATAAATTTAATATGGACCAGGACCATTTTATACCCTAAGGATTACAGGCACTGATGAGGCTACATAAAGTCCTACAATTTTTTTGTGTTGGAAGGAATCTTAAAAATCATCCTGACATGGATAGGGACACCTTCCACCAGACCAGGTTGCTCTGAGCTTCATTCAACCTAGCTTTGAAAATTTCCAGGGATGGGACATCCACATTCCCTGGGCAACCTGTTCCAGTTGTCTCATGCTGGAATTTACTACTGGATTCAGCTATATGCATGCAGCATTATCAATTCAGAACAACTTTTTGAAATGGTTCCTAGTGCAACAAACAGTTAAAATATGTTGGCATGAGTAGGCCTGAAGCCTTAGCACTGCTGTGTGGACAAGAGAGGGAGGAGAGGCAGATGTGTGGTGCTGTAAAGTTGGGGAACTACAGTTACAGGACACTGAGGGGAGGGGAGGTGCAGCAAAGATGTGGAACCATCTGATATGGGACTAAACATTGCCATGCACCTCTGTGCCTCGATAAATGCCCTGAAATGTCAGACCTAGAGGCACAGGGATCCCTGATAAAGAGCATCAAAACTGTGATTTCTTAAATGGAATTGCATTTATGGATATCAAACCATAAAATAAATTTGAAATAGTCTATGACTATCTTACAACACAAAGAATTACAGCCACTGTAAATAAACAAGTGTACCTCAAATCATAGAATGGAATTCTACGAGAATTCAGAACAATTCAAGTTCTGAATAGCTAGAAGATGCTTGTGCCCAACTTCCTTATAAATAAGATATTAACCAGTGGTATGGTAATAGTTCAGTAAAAATCCATTAAACAGATTCCTGCACTCAAAGTATCAATCATGATCAATAAATCTAACTAGTAGTTACTATATCAACTTCACTGAAAATAAATTAGATTAATATTTACTAAATTATCTACTCCTTAAACATTTCTTTGATATGATGACAGACACTACACCAAAAATTAGGAAAAATACTCTCTAAAACAGCACCTTTTTCTTAGTAGGAAAGAACTACCTGCAAAACAAATCAACACTGCTAAAAGTCCTAAAGCAACAAAATATTTATACTGTCCATTGAAGAAAGAACCAGGTAAAAAAAAGTAAAAACCTCCAAAATACAGCCTCTCTCAACAGTTACCAAGATGAACATCTAGATGAAACCTCATTCATCTCCAGTGGGATTCATATTGCACAAAGATAATCTTCACCATTATCAAGTTTTATTCAAATTTCAGCATGGTGCTAGTAAAGACAAGGTTGTGAGTTCGATCCCTGTAAGGGCTATGCCCTTAAGAGCTGGACTCAATGATCCTTGTGGATCCCTTCCAACTGAGAATATTCTGTGATTCTGTGGTAATCAATGAAATTACCAAGAAAACAATATGAAGGTTAAGGAAGTTTTTAAGAAGTTTTGGAGGAAGTTGATTGCAGTAAGTAAAACCAAGGACAAAACAAGAACTACGGTAAAACAAGATGCAATTGAGTATATATGTTTCATCAAGCACAAGCCTGATGAAAACTTCATCATGAATTTGAAATACCCCATGAATTTGAGCAAGAAAATACAACATTCAATATAACATCAAATTAAGGTAACAATAGCAAACTAAATTTTTAGTAAGATGAACAGAATTAATGTAATTGTCATGAAATAGTTAATGAATCTGTACAAGCCCCTCCCTGTCCCCCTCCCACCCCCCAAAAAACCCCACAACTCTACACCAAAAACAAATTTCCACAGTAATACATGATAATATCTGTGCTCTGAGACACTGGCCTGGAGTAAGTGAAAGAAAGAACCTAGCGGAAAATAAAGTAGTTTATCTAAAGAAAACCCAAAGTCTGGAAGAGAAGATAAGGGCCACAAAGGATTTATTTTATACTTACTGCTGAATGAACAGAAAATATAAAAATGATAAATAACTTAAAAAAGAGAAGGCAGAAACCACAAAAGCAACTCATAGGGTCAATTCAAAAAAAAAAACCTCACAACCGTAAGACAAAACCCCAAACAAAACCCCAAAACCACATGCAACACTCATGAAGGGAACCTGAACTGTTTAGAATCACGCTCTCAAGGTCTTTAACCAACAAACTTAATTGACTTTTCTTGAAACATACAACATTGTAACAATCACTGCCAGCCAATATCTCACTAAGTGTCTCGCTGTTGGTTTCAGAGTACCAAATCTTGACTTTCAATTCAAAGCCTGAAAGATAATGGATTTCCATGATGAAAAAAAATTTATCACACAAGTAGTATTTATTCACTATTTAGATTCTTCCTTAGGAGTCAAATAGTTTAATTGTTCCTTTAATCACAACTTCAGAGAAAATTAACATGGAATCTCCTAATTCTATAAAAAAACATAACTATAAAACACTACTCATCTAAAAGACTTCAAGCCTTGCATTGTGTATTCAATTTTGATTCTCCCCATTTAAAACAGACAGCAAAAATTAAGGCATAAACCAATATTTTTAAGGAAAAATAAACAAAAGCAACAAAAACAGCAATAATGTGAAGATTCACATTAGCATTAACAGTGGCTTCCTAAGAAATGAGAAGAATTTCTCAGCCCGCTCTGCGGACAACAATAACAGAAAAGATCCAGGAGAGCCAGATGGAGCTTGAAGAACTTCGATGGAAAGTAAATGGATAGGATTCCCTATTTAGAGTAGAAAAAAGTGACTTATTCAAATTTTATCCCATTGGAACAGAAATGAAAAATGTTTCATGTAATAAACATTGTCACTTGTTCTCTCAAATCCACTCTACTACATGCATAGAAGCTGTGACATGACAGAAACTGTTCCTGATGATGGGGTTTGGTCTTGTTTGTGGACTTTGTTTTTCAATGTTTTGCATAGAAAACCAGGAAAAGCAAGGACTTGCACTTTTCAGTCAGTGGAAATCTGGTTGTTCCTTCAGAAAATAAGCTCCAGAAATTTTTGAGATATAAGAACTCTTATCATTTTGTCCATTTATTTTATTTTTCTGAGTTATCACATTGCCTCAACTTTTAAAGACAGATTTATCAGAAAAGTTGGGCCAGATGCAGCAAAACTCTACCTACACTGTAACTGGTCTAGCTCTTCTCATCAACTGACAGTTCCATCTAACTGAGTAAGTATTATTCCCTCATGGGAAATTCCCTCAGATAAGATAATCTTAGCAATAACCACCTTAGGTTTAAACTCCAGGAATGGACAAGAAAAATCAAAGCCTTGTACAAATTTATGCACCAGGAAACTACGTAGCATTACTCTGTGTTTGTCTGGATGAAGTAATTACCAACTATGAATTATGAGCTATAGAGAAATTAGATGCAAACTGTATTTCCACAAAAAGCATCAACTGCCAGCTCTGAAGTAGCATTTTCTTTTTTTCACTTCCAGTCTTCCTTTGTGAATTCAACCTGGAAGATACTACAAACATATCTTTCCAGAGGGAAGGGAAAAAGTGATTAGGGATACTCTTTACAGGACATGGTATAAAACACAGGCGGCAGGAGGCAGAATAGGTCAACATGATCACTATGACATTATGTTCTTCTCATTTACATGGAGAATAGAAAGAAAAACGTAAGTGTAGAAAACCTCAGTTTAAAAAGTTCAGATGTTTTAATGCAAACAAAAGTAAGGCCAAACTATTTTAGCTACGAAAATTCAAAAATAGCTCTGTATCTCCCAGTGAAACTTTGCCACAGAAAATAACAAAGTTTTTATGGTTTTGATTCGGTTTCTTTTGCAAATGTAAATAACTTGTTTAAACAAAGAGAATCCAAAATCATTCCAGAAGCAATATTTCAATAATCAGGCCTTTCACCTCCATGGATATGTCCAACAAAAGTCCACTTGAATGGCAGCACCTGTAATCTTCTCCCAGTCTGGAACCCCTTCACTTTTAGGAAGAAGCAACTGTTTTGGTTTTTTTCTATAATATTATATTAACACTGTATTTCCAGAAAGGACAAAAAAAAAAAAAAACAACCAGTGATAATAAAGCAGAACTCACCACAACACCAAACTGCTCTGGCTCAGACAAATTGTTATACTCGTTCTTGAACTTGGACAATGCATTCAATTGCTCTTGTTCAGGGAGGTGTTTTATTAAATTCTATAAAGGAAAATAAAATAGGCTTAAAAATCTCAGATTCAATGTTGCTTCTATTATTGTAAACAAACAGGTTTACACATGCATTACTGCCATACACTCCAAAGACAACACTCTTTCCTGAAGACAGCAGAATGTACATAGCAACACACAAATTAAAGGAACTGAGAGTGTAAAAGATAAGTGATGCAATACTGCCAGCAATACTGCAATACTGACACTGATTCTACACACTTCCGCAGTATTTTTTTAAAACTGTGTTTAAAGAAGGAATGTGCTTGATAGGCATGATGGAAACAGAATACTTCAAAGCAAACAAGGAACTTGAAGTATAACATAACCATCCAAAGGCTGGCAAGAATTATTAATGCTAGGTGAAAAGTATTTTGGAAAAGAATAATTAATTTTCTAGCATTTCAAAACAAAAGTTTAAACCCATTACATTTACTTACTTACACTACTACTTAGCATGAAAACTTGCTAGAAGTAGTAAATCAAAGGTAAGATTCAGCTTCAGCCAAATTCAGAAGTCAGTATGGGGAGGTTGGACACATATAAAGTGAACGTCTTACAGGTAAGGGAATCAAACATTTCACCTTCATCTGTTCCTCTGAAGAATCCTCTGACTCCCTGGAGCTTCCTAAACACTTAGACACATATTATCTACAAAAAGACACTCACTTTTGGGCACCTGAACCCCACTCTAATTAGCTTCTGCTAGGCTGGCTAAAAATGGCTTTTTGGATATTCTGGAAATAGAAAGCTTCTCACACACTTAATTGTGGCATAAAATTTGAATCAGTAGCTCAATTCTGTCCCTTCCCAAGATGACTGCTGCAACTACCAGGCAATAGCCAGAGTCCCTACAGCCTTCTGTGTCTCTCAGATTATGTATGTATCCCTTGTGTTTCTGGTTGCACATTGGTTAAGTTTCTGTCACAATGAGAAAAACACAAGAGAGATTTTCCTTTCTTAAAACACTCTTTGGTCTACTGGTAAGCTCACTCTCCTGAACTTAAGATTCAATCCTTTTAACACTGAAGCCAGTCTAGGATACACAGCCACCCCACAACCACTTGAAAATTACCATATTTCAAGAAAGAAACCAGACCAACTTCCCCATTATTTGATGGAAAGGGCAGATATTTTGGTTGCAAACATTTGTTTTATTACCTCTCAAGTAAATAGCTTTGGTGATATACAATGAGCAAAAAAGAATTTGTTTCAGTTAGTGAGCCGAATCTCCATCTGAAAGTCTTAAAAAACCCTTATTTTACCCACTAAAGATCCTAATTCCTTCTTAAGCAGGAAATTTAGCCAGTTAAGATATAAAAATTACCTCCCTGGGGCCAGGCAGATAAAAAGTCATACCTGTGCTTTGCTTAACACACTTCTTTAGTTTAAGAAGAATCAAATTTTACGCTTTTCAGTAGTAGCTGAAAAATATCCCTAAATCAGTAGACTGATTCAACAGAATGTCCATGCTCAAATAAGGATTTTGGTAAGAAAAGAGAAAACTATTAAAAATGCAGGAACAATGATGCTTAAAACAATAATGTAAACTTAAATTTTAGGAGCTTGATTTAGATATGATCAAACTGAATTTTAGTGGAACAGCAGTCATACATATCCTTACTACTCTCACATTTGGAAAATATTTTTGTAAAACAGACTACACTTATTAATTATGGATGAAGGTGTCTGGCAATAAATCAGTAACACTGAGCAAAAATGAAAGGGTACAAAGTGTAAAAAGATACATTTTAAATTAGAAATTCATAACACACCTATTTCTTTTTTTGATATCCAACATTTCCAAATACAGCTCTAAATATAAGACAATTCCTTAATATTTACTGAAATTAAAATGTTATTCTTTGATGCAGAAAAAGTTCTCATATGAACAAAAACTGCCCACAAAACTTTCAAAAACCAAAAACAGTCAAGTGTTGGATGAATATTTTCAATGTTGAGCATCAGAATATAAAAAAAAAAAAGCAACCAAAACAGAAGGAGCAGCTGATATCAAAGGAGCTTTTATGGTGTTCAGATAAAGCTTTTGAGAAGCTACAGATTAAACACATTTTGAATATCAAACAAGGAATAAGCAGGAGAAAGAATTTTAACTAAGTCACGGGAAATATTTCAATAATTAGTCAATGAGTTTTTGGATTACAACACGGCTTTTGGAGTTTTTACATTTTGAAGTGCTAGATTTAATTTCTAACTGAAGCAGGGAATGGAGACAGATGGAGAGAAAATACATTTCATTTCTTAAGCATAACAAGAGTTGGATTAAGAACAAATTTCCAGTTTCAGAAACAGTGATTATTAGGACCCACTGAAAAAACAGTTACAACTAAACAAAAATATCTGCTGAACGCAAGAAATTTCTGAAAAGAAGACGTACCATACTGTCTAAAGTAACTTATATGAATGAAGAAAATTAGCCATATATCGCTGTAAACCTATATACTATTTCCCTCTTCTCAGAATGATGAAATACGTGGAACACATTTTCATAGCATGGTCATAGTGCATACTTGAAAAGGATGTGGAAGGTAGAAATAGAGACATAGAGCTCGATACTTAAAGTTATTTATTAACCTAAGTATATATGAAGGTGTATCCCAACTTTTTGAAGTAATGGGGCACATTGTTTTACCACTTTCAAAGAAAGATGGGTGTCTTAAGTCCTTTTTCAAGTTCAAACTTAGTCCCTTTTTCAAAGTTATTATAGGGTTGTTTTACTCAGAAACAATCAATTTGGATGAACCCATTTGATAAATATTATTACATCCAAACTTGGAAACTAAATTTGAAGCCTAAGTTCTACTGAATTTTCCACCTGATTTAGGTCTTCAAGGGATTAATCACTTGGCAAAAAAATGCAGTCTATATTCTTGAGTGATTTATATGACCGTGTTCATCCGGGATATTGTGCACATGATCACTTGTATTCCATTCCACCGACTTTTACACAATCACAGCAGCTGCTAATATCATTGTACTCTTGTAGGATATAATTTCTCACTTTTGGCTCTTCATCTTCTCTTACCCTTTTCTTAAATAAAATTGTTCACTCCCCTCCAAAAGCAAACACGAAAGGGCTCAACCACTGCTGATACCACTTTGGACTCAATTGTGATGCCAACCGTATACAGAGGTTACTGTATACACTGACTTTCAACATAATTTACTGCCAATACCAATTAATAGAGCCACAAGATTATCAGCATAGTGTCAAAAAGTTATATCCTATCATATTTTTAGCTATGCCTACTGCAAAGCTCCAGTGGGGATAGGGTGTGCTAGATGTTCTAAATATACTGAAAATTAGGCATTCTTTATCCCAAGGCATATACAATTATAATGAAAATAATAGTCCACAGAAGAAATTAAAAATAATGATACAAAAGCAAAAAAATTATCCATGAAAATAAATTTTCTCTTCTTAGCTTACCACATCTTCACATAGAAGTATGCCATTAATTAACTACACGTTATTGGTTTGATGATTTTCTTTACCAGAGTCTAAATGCAAAAATAAATTTCGCCTTCTTTAGATAACACACATAGAAATTATCAAAATAACAGTTTTTTATATTTTTGATATACAGTACTTATTTATACAGGTTGCTTCATTTAATTCTTGTGGACCTAATTTTTCTGACAAGCTAAATTTTAACTGCTGAACAACAGTGCTAAGATCAAATAGCTTGAGAGACTCAGAGCAAGGATGGACTACCTGAGACAGAGTTTAAGCAGAGCATAACAGAAGAGCATATTCCATCTCTCAGTTTTTCATGCTACCATAGAGAATTTCCACTGTTATACCAAATAAGATAAAGATACACATCATGCTGCTGTTGAGCATGAAGAAAACCTTGAAAAAGTGATCTAAGTGCAAATTAGACTAAAAAAACATTTTAGAAGTGTAAACTATGTTCATCCTAATAACCTTAAAGTAACAGTTTTAGTGCCAATATTAACTGCATCATTGAACAAAAGAATGAGAGTTATACAATGATTATATATACTGTCACTGGAGATCATGGTTCATGCTTGCTCCTTCAAATATTTAAGAGAAACATCTCATTCTTCAATGAAGAAGGGAAAGTGAAGTCTAAATAGCTGAAGAGAAATTAAACATCTTTGAAATCCAAGTCACGGGAAGTGAGGGCAAAACTGCATGCAGGAAGAAATGCATGCTGAGCATTGCATAGCCTCCTGTGCGATAAGACATTATTTTGATATTCTGATATGGAGGAAATTAATTTTGCAGGAAAACCACATAAATACAGATTTGTCTTGTTTTGACATCTGAATACAAGTTCCTGTGTGTTGCAGTAGAAGCCACACCTGAATTTCAGTGAGCCTTAATGTAACAACTAATTTTATGACCCTGATACCTGTACTTGTTTTAACTAATCAACATTCCTGCAAATAGATTATGTTTCTAAAAACCAATCTACCTTCACTTTTCTTTCACGTTTCAGCAGGGACTGGTACCCATGCCTGAAACACATTTTGAAGTATGCTGAAGAGATTAGCTATCTAAAACCTGTACCACATTACTAGTAGATAGACAGTATTTATCAATTATTGCTATATTATGTTTTGACATTTATGAGTCATAATAGAAATAATTTGAAGTTCATCACAGTATGCCAGAGTCCTGTCCAAAATACAGATAATTTTTCTAAAGTCAGACGTTTTCAAATTTACTGATGCCCATCAAGATGACTCAAGAATATGGCGCATGACAGGCAAGGACAGGCTCAGAGAAGTCACTCTGTTGACCTCTGGGAAAGCCTCGTGGGCCCTTATTGTGTGCAGATACCCAACTAAGTGGTACAAAGAAGGTGTAATTAAGCTCTTCTTGGAGTTGTGCAATAGAAGAACGAAGGTCACAAGTTATCACAATTAAGATTCTAGTTAGATAAACAAAGAAACATTTTCTACTACAAGTATTCAACACTGAAAAAGGTTTCCAGAAAAGCCAATGGGGTCTCCAGAGTTGGAGATACTAAAAATTTGATGGGAAAGGCCCTGATCAAAGTGCTCTAGTTGACCTGGCTTTGAGAGCCTTGGCTCAAATGACTTCAAGACACCCCCTCCAAATTATTTTTCCCATGTTTCTAAAATTATTCATTTGTGTTTACTTCATTAAATTCTTCAGCTTTTCAACCTTTAAATAACACTGTATATAGAAGAACTTCCAGTTTATTTTGGCTCCACATAGAGTCATACTGACTTTGTGTTTTAAAAAAGTAATATTGAAAGAGAAGACACTACCTAAACTCCACGGAAGAGAAGTGGCGAATGCTGTAAATGCTCTAAAGCAAAATATTGGATTGTTACAGCTCTAACAAACAAAAAAAAAAAAACCAAACCAAACAACCAATATAGAGATTTGTGCAGATAAGACAGAGCTAAAACAAAGCCAAGAAAAATTTGGTAAGTAGGGAAGAAACAAAACATCATATGTACACAAGAAAAGTCTCTATTTAGGTGTGGACAATACTGAAAATTGAGATATAAATTCAGCTGTGTCATACTTTAATTGCATCCAGCAACCAAGCCCCAAGCAGCCACTCACTCACTCTCCCCACAGTGGGATAAGGATGAGGCTGTAAGGGTTAAAGTCAGAAAACTCACAGGATGAGATAAAACCATGCACTTAAGCAAAGCAAGGAATTCATTCACTGGTTCCCATGGGCTGGGAGATGTTTACTGCCATCTTCAGGAGAGCAGGACTCCATCAAATGTAATGGTGACTTGACAAACACCACCACTCCATCTCCCTTCTTTTTTCTCCCTCACACTTTACATACTGGGCATGATGTCACATGGTCTGGAATGTCCCCTTGGTCATTTGGGGGCACCTGTCCTGGCTGTGTCCCCTCCCAACCTCCCATACACACCCAGCCCCCTTGCCAGCGTGGCAGTACCAACAGAAAAGGCCTTGGCTCTGTGTAAGCCCTGCTCAGCAATAACAAAAACATCTCTGTATTATCAACCCCGTGTTCAGCACAAATGCAAACATAACCCCATATGAGCCACCATGAAGACAATTAGCTTAGTCCCAGCCAAAAACAACACAAGCTGCTTTCATAAAAATATTAACATTACAAATTTAAAAAAAAAATCTACTGTTCACAGAAAAAGAACATTCTTGCAGTTAATTATTAGCCAAAAATTTACATTAAGAGGTATTTTTAGCTACGCATTTCTATTTACTGAGGAGCTTCTCTTGAAATACTGGGATCTTAAGTGCTATTTTTTTTACCTGAATCATGGACTCTGAGAGCTGTGTTTCATCTACTTCCAATATCATTATTTTGATCTCTTCATAAGGCACTCGGAAAGATCCAAGGAAAATTGCTAAAACAGAGATTCCACAAATAATGAAGAAAGCAAGACAAGAACTATCCTGCTTCTATGTAAAAAACAGCAGCAAAACAGGTCGTAGCATCTCCAGATTAACAAACACTATGCCAAATAATATAAGCAAGATAACAATTTTAATGTATTTTTAATTACTGTTTTCTTTCAATTCCAGCCTTCTCCATATCCATTTGTTATATACAACATCCAGCATCACAGAAGACTTCCATAAGCAGTCAGAGACAAGTCTACTTTTCAGAAGAATCACTGCTATTACAGTATTTTGTGCTAAGATGACAATTGTAATTTTTTCAATAGTCTTGTCAGAGCCTTCTCTGAAAGAAGCACCACGACAAACCAAAACCAAGCCACAGAAACAGAACATTTTGTTAAATGTTCTTATAAGCACTCCTTATTTAGTCACCATAATACAGTTATTTCTTATTTAATCTCTGCTGGCATTTAGGAACCTAGAACTCCTCTCCATCAAAACTTTATTTTCTTTCTTTGTATATTATTCCATAATACTGAGTATCAACTAGTTTCTACAAAGTTCATGAGATGGGCAGACACGCTGCAGGCATTTTCATCCTTTTGTTGACAAGGGGTGGGGACATGCAGGGGAAGGGGGCATCCAGTATTCCTTGATGGATATATTGACAGTACAGATGGATTAGATACATAGCTGTATGCTTGCACTTCAACACATACAGTCTTGAACAAGGAATAATCTTTAACTACTTCTCGGGTCTTTTTAAGCATTTCAGTTGTGTAAACTCATATTTGTGCTTAAAACAATATGCACATCTATAAACACATTTTAAACAATAAGTGGTTACCAGGTAATCACACAAGAAAGAAAGGCATTTTTATGGAAGATTTATACATTACTCTGAGGAAAAAAAAATAACCAACAGAAGCTACTTACACAGATTCTGTGCAATCTTAGGATCCAAAACTTTTAATTCTTTGATGCGTTTCTTAATGGATTTCTTTTCTTCAAAATCCTCCTCCTCTCTTTTTACTGCCAGATTAATCACAAATACAATCATGGTTAATTCTTAATATTTAAAGGAAACATTCATGAATTCAGAAAGAATATTTGCTATCAAGCATACTCAATTCACAGAGAAAAGATCATAAAACACACAGACAAAAAATTGAGAGGTTTTGCATGTTTTGTTTGTATTTCAATACTTTTGCTCTTCAGTCAAATTTGTCAGCTTGTTAGCCTTCTAGATTTATTTTTTTTAATATATAGGGCCTGAATAAACATGCTAATGTTAATTGTACAAACTGAGTCATATTTAAAATATGCAACATGCTCCAGTTACCCTGGCCAGGCTAGGATTATGAATTAGATTTTAACAATAACAGATCTTAAAAAACATGGCAATATGTCTCAACACTGAGACATCTATCTATTTTTGTGATTGCTTTTGTCTAACTATATGCACCAAAATTATCAAAGATCACCAGCTTATTAAAAAAATAACATTAGCTTAGACTATAGCTGAGTTGTTATATACCTACATAGCACGTAGGTATATATATAGATCTCTTTTCTTGCCCCCCTCAAAAGGATGTATTTTTAAATATATGATGTAATCACATTATTACAAAATACCACAAAGAAAAAGTGATTGTATAAACATATATTAACATTGCTGGAGATTTTGGCTTATTCTTTCTTTTAATAATTCATACAAATAGAAAATAATTAATACAAATAGGATCTCCCAAATACATTGTGTAAGCTGAATTTATTTCTCATTAGTCACACACTGTCATAAGAATTTCACTTAAAATAACAACATAGGCTTGATAAAGTATTAGTAGGAATTATTATGCAAACAAACTAAAAAGCTAAAACCACACAAATCTTTCCTTAAATATGATCTGTTATTGTATTATTTTACAATAATACATAATACTCTTTTTTTTAACTTTTCCTTCTTCCTTCCCCCAGCACAAATCTTCACTGTCAAATGTTATTTACCAAATACATTGCTACTGTTTAGCTAATTCTGTATATTGTTTCACAAATGAGATTAGTTTCCTAGCTTTATAGTATGATTGTTCCAAATTAAGTTATACATGCTTCAAATATTTGAGAGAAGAAAATATGCTACAATAGTATAACACGCTACCAACTTCCAAAGGAGATAGGTATAGACGAGAAGTCCTGCCAAGGAGACATAGGATTAAAATTTCTAGCTCAGTGATGATCCTTGACAAAACTAGACATAAGCATGAATTATCAAGAGGATTTCCCTAAGCTGAAATTAATTCCAAAAATGGTAAGAGAGCTATTTAAGAGCTACATAATTCTTAAAAAATGTTTTCCAAAGCACAGTAAATTTTGCCAAGGATTGGGACACAGACTAAATGACCTCTTGAGGTCTTTGATCTTTGTTGTCTAGGATACAACCAAAGAGATAAGAAATTCAAGACCTCACACAGGGATTGAAGGAACCAGGTTCAAGTCCCTTCCGAGTAGGTGGAGAGAGACATTTGAATCATCTCCTAAATCACTTTTAATACTCTACACCTGCTAGGCAGCACAATGCTCCTGAGAACATGCCACAGTACAGAAAAGAACCTGTATTCTGCAAAAATGAAATCACTAAACTAAGACATAAAGCAGTCCTTAGAAGAAGGACTGATAACCAGCATCCTGGAAAATGGGTTACAAAGCCACAGTCCTTGTCTTTTGTCTGTTCCCAGTCTACCCACAAAATTCATATGGCCTTGAATTTCTTTTAGCACATTGAACAGAATGTTTAGCACTCTCCTGTACCAGGGAAAGCTACACCCTGCTTACTACACATGTGAAAGCAAAAGTAGGTCTTCACCAGCAATGTGAGAACGCTATAGCTCAGGCACCAAAGGAATAGAATGACATTAAAGCTACTGGATAAAAAAAAGGTTACCACTAAAGGTTCACTTTTTCTGATTATGCTTGAAGAAGAGCCCTTACTGAACCCAGAAGGGTATGTCAAGGGGCTGCAGATCCCAGAATCACATGACTGTTTTCTCTTGCAGTTACACACTTTAACAGACCTCTCAAATTTCTTAACTTCTTCAACTACATACTGAAAACTGTGACTCTTAAAAACATGACTTGAGTTGCCTCAAAGTCTTATCAATGCTAGAATTGCAGATTGTCCTAGAAGACATATACATCCCTGCAGGACAGGTTCCAAGCAATTTTCATGCTTAATGAAAATACAGTAAAATTCTTCATGGCTACCTTGGAACTTTGCAAAGAAACCTGGAACTTTACAAGAAACAAAATAATTTCCTTTGTAGACAGAATAAAAAGTAGTTAAATTATCTAAATTTACTAATTTCCTTAAGTGTGCCCTGCCAGCCTCAAACTGTATGCTAAAAGGCCAGAAATAAAAAAAAAATTAAAAAAAAGTCTGCCTCTTTCAGCACTAGAAAGCAAACTTTATTCATTACAAGTCTTATAACTGAGATAATACAGACACACAAACATGCAAAAAGAATTATCAGTTAAACATGCACTACTTAATTCCCTACTTCCAAATCAAGAAACAGTGCTGTAAATGAACTGGCTAATAGCCTCAGGAATTTTCACCCAGGAGGGGGTTGGGTTATACACAATATTACAGCAATACTTAAGGCATCACAACACTAAGGAAAAACATTTAAGCATAGAACGTGTCTACTCTAGGCAACTCATGCAGGAATAGTATGCAGAGTTCTACAAGTATACAATAAACTAAATTACTGCAAACTTACATGATACTTCTTTAGTAGACTTCAGGTCACGTCCTTATGTAGTTGGCAGCAATAAGAAGCAGAGGACATGTATTACTTTTCTTGCTGGTTTGAAATGTTGCACGTCCCACTGAAAACCCTGATACATCCTAATGCCTCTAGAAATTTTCACCTCCTTTGCTAATGTCCTGGTTTTGGACAAGGACACGGGTTATGTGGAGCCATGTGGGCATGGCCAAGACACAGTGCAATTCAATCCCATCTCACCTCATGGCCAGGGAGGAGGGAAATGGGTCTCTCTCTTGCTTCCTGGAAAAGAAGGGGGAGGCATTCCTTTGCCTGGGAACCAAGTGACAAATGCAGTGGTGGGATAACACTGGTCCTGACTAGATGATCTGTCTGTCATTTTTTTCATTGTCTTGGGCTTGGGGACAAAACATGGAGGGAGATGGTCTGTCCACCATTTTGTTCACTTTCCCAGTCAGTGAGCAATTCCCTGCAAATCACACTCTTTTTGTAAACTGTTGTTATTAATATTGTTGCTGTTACTGTTCTTATCTCATTGCTGTTTCCAGTAAATTGCTTTTATCTCAACCCATGATCTCTGCCTTTTTTATTTCCCATTGAAGGTTGTAAGGGGAACTGAACGAGGGAGTGCCACTTCTTAACCATAACAAGTGGCACAAAAAAAAAAAAGCCCCCTAAATCCCAAGAAACATAACTATTCTCTATTTCCAACAAGTAAAAAGAGAAAGAAATCCCACAGCTGAAGGGAATGAATAGAAATATCTGAACAGGTGAAGTAAGAATCTAGACTAAAAGGAAATCAAAGAAAAATATGCAGTTAAATTTTCATTTGTGGAGAGCACTGGAATAGAAGGGATAGTATACAGAAGAAAGAAAATGGGAACATCTGCTTACAGTGGAAAAAAAATAAAGCAGGCTAGTGGGAGTGGGCAGCTACTGTAGAAAGGATGTGATAATTTGAAGGAAATAGATGTGAGATGTTACCATGCTAATGAGAGAAGAAACCAGGGGATCACAAAATACATCGACAGTTCTCACAGCTCCAGAAGTTTCATCTTACTAAGCATGAACTTTTTCAAAATTACTTTTTTTTTTCAGCTTTATACAATAGAAAACTACACACCCTTTAAAGTTCTGTCTATACACTAAATCTATCCCACTGCAGGACACACACATGGCCCCAGCATCTGACCTTTGTATTGTCAGTAGTACCTCAGGCTGATGCTCCTGCTCTGCCCTCTCAGGCTGAGAAACAAAGTGCTACAGCACTTTGAAACACAGAAGAATGCACCTCCCACCCTTCGCAGTTCCCCTTATCTTCACACCCTACATCCTTATTAAAAAGACTCTAAAATTAACAGATGTGGTTGCCAACATACACACACACCAATACCTCAAAGGAGTTTTGGATACTGGACAGATTGCTTTTACCGTCTCCTTCAAATTCAGATCCATACACACATTCAAATGCAGTCAACTACCTCCATCTGTGGGAATGACCTGACTGAAATTAGGGTCCTGAAAAGAGTGGTGACAGGACTGTTTTATAAACACTTGGAAGTATTGGAAGCCTGCAGAACAGCACTTCATAAAATTGTGGACTGGATCCTAGGGAGCTACTCTGTAAAACTCTGAAACAATTTCATTCTTGGTAGGTGCCACTGAAATAATCTACATTCATGAATTGCAATACACATTTCTATTTCTGCCACAGGTCTTGATATAATCTGCTACCCACAATCTTTGTAAAAAAAATCATGTCTGTGCATCTGTATGCTAAAGAAAAAAAATCTTCTAAAACATATCATCCTAGTGGAAAAAACTGAAACAAAATACCTTTGAAATACAAGCCTCAAAAGGAATCTATCTGAACATTTAGATATAAACATTTATTTTTAAAAGTCTGAATTCCTATTTCAGATGAAACTTGAAAACTACATTACACAGAACACTCACTGGAGTTATTTCGTCACTAAGAAGAGTTATTTTGTCACTAAGTAAAAGAGCATACAGAAGATTACACGTGACCTTACACTTTTCCTGGCCTCTTAGCTAAGACAACAGTCATCTTGAATTCTCTCTTCACTGAAGAATGAAAGAACTAGCCTGGGGTCATGGACTCAAAGGATTTACCCATAACAGGTGTCATTATGAAAGTAGATGCCTACTTCATCTGTATAGAACTCTAATTCTTAAAAGTAAATGATATCTTGTGTCCCATATAGCAGGATATTCAATGGGAAGACCTGC